AGAACATGTTTTTATATACAATTGGAGTCCTAAACGTTAGGACTTGTTTCCTATTTTARAAGAGAAAATCTTGCCTAATCTATTCTAAATAAGGAAACAATTATATAGCTAATTACACCTGATTTGTAGCCTAATTTATAGCTAATTTACAGCAAAGAATCCCAACAGTTTGTGTTGATTAAACCTTAACAAATAAGAAAATAACAAAAAGAAATTAGTATATAAACACACAAAATGAACATTTTAGTTTAAAAGTGTCTATTTTATAATTATAACCTCAAAAAATTAAGAATATAAAAGTTTGTTATAACACGCAATAGAAAACTGCTTGGCGATTAGGCGAAGCAAGACTCCAAGGGCACCTTGTTGCCTAGGCGTTGCCTTGACAACTATGGATGCTGTTATCCATGACCAAATGAATATTTGTTAATATGTAATTTTGCTACAGTTAGTGGCTTTGGTATAGCCTACTTGTAATTAGTGTTCTATTTTATCTTCTAGACATTTATACTTTCCTGGTGAACAGAAAATAAGAATAATTAATCTCCTTATCGAATACTAGTTAGCACAATGAGTGTCTATCCTGTAACATCAGATGGTGGTATTAGGTACTTTGTATTCATTAAGATAATGATACACTGAATGAACGCCATTGTGTTGGTGGCATGATGCACTATTTTCTTTTTTATGGATGCTAATTTATGTCTGTGTTTTTAAACTTGTGGTACTATTTGGTGAGTCTGTTTGGCCTTTGAAATAAAAAGACATTTGTTGGATCATGCAATGTTGTTTCATATATTCTATTATTTCTATTTATTGGTATTTTGGTTTTGATGTTCCATATAATCTGATGTGAGCTTTCAGAACTGAACAAAGGGGTCTTCCCAATACCATTGAATGGCTTGCCTTTAACTGTAAGTGGCATATTTTATTCTCTGAATCTTTTCATATTGCAGTTGTAGGCTGTCCTTGTTATATACCGTGATAGTTGATACTTTCTCGTTAGTGTAAATGTTGATTTTTTTTACCTCTTCCAGGGATTTGACCAAATCCCTTCAGGATTGGGGAAGCAGATACTAAAATCGGTTCCACAAACACCAGTCCAGCAACAGTTTCAGATGTTGAGAGGAAAAATTAAAAAGGAGCATGTTGCTCAAGCACTGCCATATACACCACAAAAGTTGATGCCATCACTTCCAAGGAACATTACTTATTCAGATCAGGTGCTTCTCAAGGATGTATTAAAAAGGAATGACGGGCATGGTACTGGTAACTTTGACTTTCAACATATTGGTTCTCCAATTGCAGCAATGCCCAGAATGGAGAAAACTGCACCAACAGCTGAGGTAATCTTTTCGGTTTCAGATGTATTCCCTAAATTGTGAATGTTGAAGGTATTTGAGATCAATGGGCATGCATATGTTTATGTCTTTTCATTAAGGAATAAAAAGGATTTTTTTTTTTGAACTGTAATGTAAAGAATAGAAATAGCCAAGGTTACACTTTGTGTTCTTAATCGGTAGATGCTTAAAGTAGTACTTTTGTCACTTATCAAAAAATGATTATTGCTAGCTACAGTTTTCAAATTTCTATCATCACTTAATTAGCCTAATGGACAACTAATGGCAATGACTCAGATAATATCCCAATTAAAGCAAAATGCACAGCATGATCAGATATGTCAGCAATTCCAAGAGGTTGGTAGTTTGTCTATATGGCTGATTGACCTATATATTTTGGATGCCTGGAGCAAGTTCTAGCCAGCTTTGATACATGATTATATAACATCCTTAATATAAATTCAAGTTCTGAATTAATAAAATTTATTTTTACTCAAAAAAAAAAACATCCTGCTTAATATATACTTGTTTTCATCAGATTGGCAGCAAGAGGAAGGATAGACCAGGTCATGGGACCGGAGATGCTGCTGTGGAGGGAGACCATGCTGGTTCTTCTGCAAAATCTGTTATACCAACTTGTGTTCAAATGGAGTGCACAATATTGCCACAAAGTAACAGAGCATCTAGAATGCAAATAATGCATGATCTGGACAAAATTGGTCAGGCTGAAACCCTGCAGAAGATGGTATCTTTTTGTTCTTTATGTGCTTGCCTATATTCTTTGCTCAATGTGGGTGTATAGATTCCTTATCACTGATTCTCACTTAATGGTAAAAATCAATTTTAGGATGATATGGATGGTAAGAATGACAGCACCACACAACAAAGTTCTACAACTTGTGACAATAGTAATAACCCAAAAGGTAAGTTTTGAATGCTTTAAGAAGAGAAATGCATTTTTACCTCTCTTCTTCTAGAATGCATGTAATGATTCTAGTTAGCATATGGCCTACTTGAGTGCTTATTGTTTAAAATGGTTACCCAAAAAGGATGTACTTTCCACCACTTTTGAAACTAAATTGCATATTGCTGGCATTATGTAAGTGTGAATTGTAGAATAGTCTTCTTTGCTTTATTGCGATTCCTTGTTGCCCAGGCTCAGTTTTGCATCCATTTGTTTGTAACTATGATTTGCACTCCTACCTGATATAAAATTTGTACTTTTGTCTCTTTTGCACTCATTGGTAGAGCAAATTTTATATTCCAAAAGTTGATACAAAATTTGCATCACTTTCCTCCTACGTCAATTCTCTTTTATACATAATTTGCATCACTGTACTTTTGGGCTTTCAGTGGGCCGATTGGAAGAGCTGACGCTACTGAGGCAGAGATCACAGCTGCTCTCACAGGTCTCTGTTATGTCAAAATGTTAGGCCTTTCCTCTCTTTAAATTGAAGATGATTCCGCTAATACAATAAAATGGCTAGGGAACTAAACTCTGTAGCTGACAGCTTAGCCAAATCCGGAGCCCATAGTCTTATATTTTCTGATACTTCTTCGCCTGTCTGTTTCTGCCTCCTAAGGCTTTTGTACTTTGTTAACTTTCCTCAGTTAACTTTTAATAAAATCTCAGTTAACCTTTCCAAAATAAAAAATAATAAACACCTTTTCACCACTCCTATCTCCATTCTCTTTAATATAAGACAGGGACCGCTTCATTTTACTTCTGACAAACAAAATAAGACAGTAAAATCTGAAGCAAAAGTAAACCAGAATTTATACTCAGCTTATTTGCACTCCCATGCATTTACACCAGTGCAAGTGAAAATTGCACTGCACACAAACTAAGCCTAAAGGGAGATCTGAGCTCTTACTGGAGGGTCTACAAACAAATTCATTGTAATTGAAAATGGAAAATTGATTTGATGAATAAAAGTTTGGTTTAGTGAGTCCTGGTTGTAGTAACGTAATTTTCTATTTTTTTTCTTCCTCTCACATAATTCTTCTTCTAAATAATATATCTCTTTGCAGCAAGAGTTTTCTCTGTGTTCCTAATCTTTTTCTTATTCTTTGTTGGACAAGAGGTTCCTCAATTATCTAGATCACCTTTCATTGCCCTAAAAGGCCCACCACCAGATCTGAATTTGTAGAACCCCCTACCTGTCCTACATCTGTTGGGCATTCCTCTATCTCAAAATGAGGTTTGCTAATTCCTTAACAAATGCCATATGCTTCCCCAAGTAAGAAGCCAAGAACAGGACCAAAATTCAGTTTAAGAATGGGAAAGGGGAGATCTCATGCTACTACTTCTGCAACAGCCATAAGGCACCAGACAATAGCCCTGTGGCTGCTAGGAAACCACAGGGTAGCTGTATCAGATCCCTGCCACCTAGGAACACCAAATATGGTGAAGGGAAAATGGGTAGTTGGTGCTGAATTAACTTGAATGTGGCTAGCAACACCTTCACTTAGGGAATGGATCATTCCATCTTCCCTCTCTCTCTCTCTCTCTCTCTTTCACACACACACACACACTTTCTCCCCCTATTTTTCTTATATTTTCTACCTATTTATCTTTTGCCTCTCTTTTTGAATCTTCTTAGGAACTTAGTCCCAGAGAAATGTAGTTGGAATTAAATGTCCACTCCTAGACTCAAACCCATTTTCTCATGCATGTCAGACTATGATTTTACCATTGCACCAAGCAATGAAAGAGTTGGGAACTAAAAGATGTAGAATATTCCACAAAAGTGGAGTGGATTTCTTCCAAGGTAAAAGGTGCACTATTACCACAGAATTTAGGGCGTCACCCTCGAAATGGAATCTTTTTTAATGGTGTGGCTCAAATGGAGATTGATTGGGATCAAAAGTAGTGGTTTCCTATATTAAAAGTAAATGTCAGGGGTAGTTTAGTCTTCTCATCTTGTGTTATATTAATTATTATATTACTAATCTGTCCAGGTTTAAGTTGCTGTCCCCACACATAATTGGGGGCAGTAATGTCATTGTACACCTAAAGAGATAAGTATTGAATCTGCCGTCTCGGTGGAGATTATTTCATTCTCTCATTTTTTTTCTCTTCTTTTACTCATTATCTCTTTCTCTTCTTCTATCCCTAGAACCAACTGAACCCTATTAGATGGTACCAAAGCATAAAAGGGGTTCCCACAAGGCAGCAGACAGGTTAGTAAGGGCTGTGATTTGTTTTCTTCCTCTCTTGTCGTGGTCACCATGGGTGATAAAGTCAATGGTGGTTGTGATGGTTTAAGCCCTCTATTAGGTGGTTACCAAGAAGGATTTGTGCTGTGGTGGTGAGTTCCCAGTGGTTTGTTTGGTGGAAGCATTATAGATGTGTAGTGTGACAAGATAGAATATTGTTTGAAAGGCGTTTGATTAATTGTCATAGTGTGGTGAGAGCATAAGATATCACCTAAAAGGTGTTTAATTGATTGTATTAGTGTGAGCATCAGGCTGTAATCTCCCATTTGCTATTCGCTTCCTTGGCTCGTTGTTAGGAGATCATCATGGCAGCACCCGATAGTGGTGAGAATAAGTCCCCAATAATTTGGTTCAATCTAAAATCATTGAGTTGCAGATGACAACCATTAAACTGAATGCAACAATGTTTTAAAAAGCGGAGGCATGACGTGAGGTGTAGTTCAGAATGTAAGAGGTGTAAGAGGCGTAAGCCTCCTGAACACAAGGAGGAAGAAGAGGAAGAAAAATCTCATTTTCCTTTATTTTTAATAAAACTCTTTTATATTAAGAAAAATGAAGATGCATAGTACTACCTCATTTCTCAGGTCCCGTAGGTGTTGGAAATGCAGTTAGGGCAGAAATCCTAGAAGTCTTTCAGGGGTTAAAGCCAGCAAAGATAAATAATTACACTAATATTGTAGTTGAAGGGAAGTAAAAGCAGTTGTGGACTGGATTAGAAATGAGGGGAAGTGCCCTTGGCAGTTTTGACACATTTTAAGAGAAATCAACAAGCTCAAAAGAGAGAGTTGTAGCAGTGCAGTGAGTATACAGGTCTGCAAATGGGTTGGCAAGTAAGTTAGCAAACAAGGGGTTGATAGAGAAATCGATTTGGGGGATTGGAATCTAGCCTGATGTACTGTAAGTTGGAATAGGGGATTTGGCTACGGGTATTGGTCATCTCAATCTCTGAGGTTTCTTGTAATTTCTTTTCTATTCTCTAATAGAGGGTGGGTCTTGGTGCAACAGTTGGGTTTTCTCCATTGTGATCTGGGTGACTAGGGTTGCAATCTTGGCCACAGCCTCTCTGTATGTTCAGGGGTAAGGCTCTGTGCATCTGTCCCTCCACAGACCCTGCATTGGTGGGAGCCTCATGGCTCATGCACTGGGCTGCCCCATTTCTTCTTTTCTATTTTAATAGAACTGACCCCTGCGATGCATGGAATGTTGTTTAAAAATAAATATATATATATATATATATATATATATATATACTTTTTAAGGGAGATAAATGAATAGTGATTCACCAAAGTATTTTGTATACTTCTACATTTTTGAACCAGAACAATTCATGAAACAAATCTACGTTAAATTAAATTAATAAAAGCGAAGGGAAAAACCTGAATCCAATGAGCAAAACAAAAGAAAAACCTATCATCAAAAAAAAAAAACAGAAAAACCTGACAACCCAAGGAAAGGAGTAATGATTTGTTTAGATTGGTTCACCCCATGTACTAGTGGGCAAATTTGGGGTTTTTGACATTAACTTGGGTCCAAGTTAAGGTTCATATTTAAGTTGATCCATCACCTAACCCAATCCATCTAATTTACACCATCTATATATATAATAGAAAGAGGAAAATAAAGATTTAATGGGGATGGGAGATGTTACAAGTATTGACTATTAAGATTAGGGGGTAGGGGTGCTCACGGTTCGATTAACCGAACCTTGGGCCTTCTTTTGTAAATGAACTGGTACTATCGGTTTTTGGAAAATTGGGAACTGGAATCGAACCGAAGCCTATCGATTAACTGTCGGTTTTTTAATTTTTATAATATATATTATTAAAAAATATATAAATATATAATAAAAAATTATAAATATGTATAAAATATTATATTTTAAATAATAAATAACATATCATATATTATAAATATATATATATTTATATATATAATGCATTTTATTAATTTATAATATATAATATACATAAATATATATAAAATATTTAGAAATATATGTATATCGGTTGGTTCAGTTAACTACCGCTGGTTTTCTATATTGGTTAACTGAAACCAAACCGGTACCTTCGGGTTTTTTAAAACACTAAATCGAAACCGAACCGATCGGTTTGGTTAATTGATTTTTTGGTCGATTTGGTTTTTCGGTTTTTTTGCTCACCCCTAGGGAGGGAGAGAGAGAGATTTAAGAATGATTTTATTAGAATAAATATGGATTTGATGGGAGACGATAAAAACACATGAGGTTTCTAATGAATTAATTTAAAAATTAATATACACGTGTGAGAAAAGGAGAGGATGAAGTATGTGGTGAGAGGACCCTCACCTCCCTTTCGTCTTTCTATTATATATATATCTACCTATATATATATATATATATATATATATATATAGGTAGATATAGAAGACTATATAGCGTGTTGGACCCCCTTTTTCGGTAAAGGTTTTAATCCCATCTTATTAACAAGAAAGTAAATGTACTAATATGTTCTTGTTTTATTTTGGAAGTTTTGTGCATGATTTTTATGTATTTATTCTACATATTCTTTTTATTAATGCCTGGTAAAAAAATTCAATTGTTTACGTTGCTAGCAGCTTCTTGAATTGTGGAATCCAACGCGGAGAGTTGTAAAACAACGAAAATTTCAGCACATGATGGATCCATCGCCGCATTGTCATATTTGCAACGTACTGAAATGGTTACCTCTTCCAGTGGTGGCCAGTGTGTGGAATCACGGAAATGAGGCTAGGCCTCGCTTCTCTCTACAATTACGGGTGATAGTTCTGTCATATAGTTGAGATTCAGTTTTTTCCCATCCATCAATCTTAGCCAGACATCTCTCAATAGTCAGAGCCAGAGGAATTAAACAACAGGTGTGTGTGCAATAACGGAAGATGTGTGTAAGTTCCATTCTAGCAGTTGGGAACCAATAAACAAATGATGTCAAATGTATATGGGAGAAAAAGAAGTAATTTCCAATTCAAACATATGTACATATGTGAAAGACATCCATTCATGTTCATATGATAATTTTTCTCTTCCGTTTCACTATGTTGACTGTATATTTGAGCATAGAAAAAAAATTGATACAAGAAAAGTGTTGGAATAAGAGGAGCTCTTCAATTGATGATTGGGCTTGGTTTTATTTTGATAACAGCTATAAGATTAAATGATTAGTACATGCTTTACCAATTTGTGGAAAAAAAGTAAACAGTAGTGAAAATATGGTCGGCTCTCTGTCTCCAATTTGTCCAACTGTTTGATTTATTTCTGGGAATCCAGTGACATCTCATCCAAATCTGTGGAGTGTGGAGTCTCGCCACAGTTATAGCTTTAAACTGTCGCCTCTATATTAATTGGATTTGATGTAATTGACCCGCCACGAAAGTTGTAAAGTGGTAACATGATAGCATCTTGATTTTAGGGCCTGTTTGGTTCATAGTTAGAAATTGGAATCGCATAATCCCTCAGAATTAGAATTGGGGGAATGGCATTCCACCAGAAATGGGAATGACATTCCAATTTTGTCCAACCAAACAATTGAAATTGGAATGACTGATTACAGACCCTTATTCCTGCAAACCAAACTGGCCTAGTGGCTCCAAAGCTATAGTAACCAAAAAGATGGATCGTAAGTGATTCCTTTGAGAGAAGTGGAGGTGTTAAAGAATAATAGATAGCAAGCAAGATATTAGCATCTCTGAGCAGAGGTTGTCGACTCTCAAACATCATGACTCATCCTATAATGGTGAGGCAAAGAAAAACAGGCCTCAGACCACTCTTCTGCAACGGCGGTCGATGGTTCAGTGACTGTTGCATATAACTGCAGCTGTTGCAAAGCAGCAGATAAGTTCTTATTTCTTAAATGGATAATCAGTGCCTGGCTGGCTGGTTGTGGGAGTTTCTTCTATTTGTCCTCTGACGTTTCATCCTGTAACCTCCTAAACATCTCCTGCAGCGGGAGATGATTCCTCCAAAAAGGGCTGAATTACACTTGACACCTGCAAATCTAAAGCCAATTCCATCCCTTCCAAAAGAGTCATAGATTAGTATCTAGGAAATTTGATGGATGGAGCTACGATATCTCACCATGGTGATTTCGAATAATCAATCCCGCATGCCAACATCAAAGTTGATAAAATCATAATTGATTCAGATGAAAAATTAAAAAGTTTATTTACAATTCATAAATCATAATTAATAATGATAAAATCTCAAGTTTGAGAGATGTCACTTTCTCTAAAAAAACACTCCACATCCAATTTACTCTCCTAAAACCCCAAATAACTGGGAATGTACGACCAACATTACTCATTAGATAATCGTCTTTTTTTTTAAATCTTGTCACATTTTACCATTTTTTTAGCAATCAAGAATGCTTGAATTTCAAGTCTCAAAACGGAACTACCCATTCTTAAAAATTTCCATACACTACATCTAAAAGAGACATAAACTCTGAGTTTGGTTGGTTGTAGTGCAAATTTATTTGTAATAGTACAAATGCATTGGAGTGTAAATGTAAAAAAATGTAATTTCTTATTTAATTTTGTTTTGGATTTTACTTTATTCTACCTTTTGTCTTAATTTACTTCATTTGTACTGCAATCAAACAACATATGCTAAAATTTTAAACAAAAATAGGTAAGAGTTTACACTCAAATCATTTGCACTGTCATGGTTTTGCATCACTACAAATTTATTTGCATTGCAACCAAATATAGCCTTACAAGTTTAAAGATTCATATTCGTTCATTTCTATGAGCAAGGTTTAGCTTCAATAGGCTGTGGAACCAATGATATGGTTCCACGCCAGTATTTAAATATATGGGGCCCGCATCTTTTACCATGAACGTCATTGGTTCCACAGCAAAAGCGTTCAATTAATCCGAATTCTGTTTCTATATCCAGCATTTAGATCACTACTTAGGGTTGTTCATAAGAAGACCCAACCCGACCAAACCGACCAACCCGGACCGACCCAACTCGAGTAGGTTGGGTTTTCTTTAGCACCGGTTGGTTTCGGGTTATAAAAAATCATAAACCGATGATTCGGTCTGTTTTTAGTTTTCATGTGCGAAAATTGAAACCACCCCGACCCGAACTGACTTAGTAGTTAGTTTCTAATTACTAGTTACAACCTACTTAGTTCCTACTTAACTAAGTTGACTCTATTCTAATTACAACATAACTTAATTTATAGTCTTCTAATTAGGAATGACATTAATGGCAAGTATTGTAAGACAAGGAATCCCTAGTCCTACTCCCTACACCTTTCCTCCTTTAGATGATAGCTTATTGCATTTTTTGGAAAAGTTTAAAGAAAAGAATCAAAGGATCATAGATTCTAAGGTCTTTTACACCAAATAGGCAACAAATTACAATTAGAATTAGGTGTCCTTTTTTACTTAGATTAGAAGGCTTCTTAAAATATACAAATTTCAGTCTTCTTTCTCTAATACAAATTGACTTTCTATTTTCTTGATAATTTCTAACTTGGTCCGCCCCCCTTAGCCCCTCAAACTCTGCTCTCTCCACAACTGGATCCATGGATGGGCCACAAAACATTAAGGAAATGCCGGTTTCTTTTGGAATGTAGAGCCAAAAATGAACAATTGAACAACAACTGAGTCACCACTAAGTAAAATCGAAACCGATCCAAGCTGATCAGGTCGGTTTTGCTTAACACATGGTCGGTTTTAGTTTCAATTTCAGATAACCTGACCAAGTCAGATCAATTGAAAAAACATCTTTAAACTGACCCAACCCGACCCGTAAAGAGCCCTATCACTACTGACAAGTGACAAATAACGTAGGAAACGTTCCCAAGATATCGTCCTCATTCCTCATGGTACTCCGTCACCGACCTTGACTTGGGTGTCGCCGTATTCCGGCAAGAGAACAGGGATGAGGTTCCCTCCTTGTCTCGTGTTCAGCTTTGTTTGGGTCTTTGTTAGGGAGAAGAATACCGGAGTTGGTCTTGAAGAAGGGTGGAACGATCTTCTTCAGCAAGATCCGGTTCAAGCTTGGTAGCAAACGCTTCACCATTTCTCTCCATCTCTGTAGCCAACGATCCTATTACCAATTCAGTTAAATAACAGAACCAGGTGAAGGATGAAAAAAAAAACACTAGACTCTTTTCCTTTGTATTTCCAAATATTTTTTTTATAGGGCATAGTTTCATCACTGATTTGAGAATTATTTTCTAACAAAAGACCTTTGATATTTCTGATAGTTTTTTTTTTTCCAAAGTTTGTTTTGGTTGTATCTATTTGCTATTAATGCCATTCTGCATTTTGCAACAATTTTCACAAACAAAACGAGGGATTAGGAAGGCTAATGAAATTTCTTTAAGGGTATCCTTGTAATTTACCAAAACATGGATTCCTCTACAAACGGATAGACTCGACAACTGGACTTACTGGACTGGAGTGACAAAGTTGTAATTTTGATAATGTAGGCAAGGGGATTTGGTAATTTTGGTTTTACCCTAATGGCCTCCTTTGCTTCTTATGAGTGACTTCCGGTTCTTCTCCCAAATATGAGGGAGTGGACCGGCGACCTTCACAGGTTTCTCTCTCTCTCTCTCTCTCCTCACTGATGCAGCTTATGGCTATTGGCTTTTTGATTATACGTGCTCTTTCTGTGATTTTATCTTCTGCAAGTGTTTCCTGTAGATCCGAGCTTTGGATAAGTAATACTTTGCTATTTTATGCTTTGGTTTGCAGATTTGGTGGTTAGTCTCTAGTTATCTTCTGTCTTAATAGACCAACGGTATAATGTTGATTATTGTTACTTATTAATTTTAGTTCTGAATTCAATTGGAGTTGCCTCAGTTACTCAAACACTTCCCTTTTGTCCAAAGACATTTGATGCTTTTAGTGGAAGATATACAAATGCAGATAAAAAAGGGAAGCAACTAAAAGCAGCACGGGTTGTGTACCTGTGGTGTTAGGAAAATAATTTCATTTTGATATTTCTCTCAATTGGTATATTTGATCTATCTATTAGTAGTGTTGAGTGTATGTAGTTGGTTTATTGTGTCAACCAGGAAAAAAGACATTGTTTGGCTTACAATGTTGACTATGTCTATTCTTTTGCTTACATTGTATCTCCACTATTTATTTTGTTTATTTTCACATTGTATCTCCATTCCAAAGAAAGGAGTCTTGGAGGTTAAGGACTTTAGACCAATAAGTCTGATAGGTTGTACTTACAAAATTCTGGCTAAGGTGTTGGCAAGAAGGCTAAAAGAAGTTCTAGGAAACTTGATTTCCCCAAACCAATTTGCATTTGTGAAAGGAAGACAAATAGTGGACAGCATTCTGCATTCTAATCGCAAATGGATGTCTGGAAGACAAGAAAGTTTCTGGGAAACTGGGGTCCTAGTCAAACTAGATCTTGAAAAAGCTTATGACAAAGTGGACTGGGACTGCATTTTAGATTGCTTGAGGATGAGAAGCTTTGTTGATAAATGGATCCACTGGATTAAAGGCTGCATTAGTTCCTCATGATTTTTAGTTCTACTAAATGGAGAATCTAAGGGCTACTTCAAGGCTAGCCAGGGTCTTAGACAAGGCTGACCGCTTTCCCCTTTTCTCTTCACCTTGGTGATGGACCTTTTCAATCATCTCATTCAAAAGGCCAATCTTCTAAATTTGGTGAAAGGCTTTGAAGCGGGGAAAGAGAGGATCCACATCTCCCACTTACAATTTGCTGATGACATCATCTTGTTCTTGGGTCCTTTCTAGTTTACATCTCAAACACAAAAGGGGTAATTGAGTGCTTTGAGCTAATTACTAGCTTGAGGGTTAACTTTTGCAAAAGTGGTATAGTAGCCCTAAATTCAGTAACTTTAAAGCCTTGTTGGGTTACAAAGTGGAGAACCTTCCTATTTCTTATCTAGGAATGCCAAAACCTTAAACTTTTGGGGGCCAGTGGTGGAGAAATGTGAGAAGAAGTTAGCATCTTGGAAGAAGTGCTACCTATCAAAAGGGGGGTAGGCTCTCTAAAAGGCCTCCTTAACAAATCTGCCAGTCTACTTCCTTTTAGTCTTCTAGATTCCGACCAAAGTCAGAAATCAGATTGAGAAACTTCGGAGGAACTTTCTTTGGGAACGAGGTGGGGAGAAAAAAAGTCATTTAATAAGTTGGGAACAAGTTTGCAAGAGTGAAGGAGGGTTGGGAATTGGGCATTGAGAAAAATACCTCTCTCTTGGGTAAATGGCGTTGGAGATTCCCTAAAGAATCCAATGCTCTTTGGACAGTTGCCATTTCAAGGCAAGTATGGGTCAAATGGGTGGGACAACAACCTCCATTTGAACAGGATAAAGTCAACTAATTCCCGGAAAACAAAATTGGCAATGGTTCTCAAAATAAAATTCTGAAAGACCTTTGGTGGGGAGAATCTACCCTTGCTGCCTCTTTCCCTAGACTCTTCAACCTCTCCCTAGACCAAGAAGCAACTGTTTTTTCCTGCCTTCCGGATCTCACTACTGAAACACCTTGAACCTACACCTCAGAAGACCCCTAAGGGACCCAGAGATATCTGACTTAGTTGCTTTATTTCAAACCCTAAAAGAAGTCTACATCCCCCCCTCTTCCCTTAACACCCGAATCTGGACTCTCCATCCAATTGGTGAATTTTCTTCCAAGTCTCTGTTCAAGGCTCTAATTGCAAGTGAGCAGAATTCCTCGTCCCCTTCAAGATCTGGTGCAGTTATATCCCTTCAAGAGTCTGTTTCTTTGTCTAGGAAGCTTATCTTCAGAGAATAAATACATGTGACTTCCTACAGAAAAAGAATCCAGGAAGACTCTTTATCTCTCCTCGTATTATCTTATTATGTCTAAGTGAAGGTGAATGAGCTGATCACATTCTTCTTCATTGCAAGTTCACTAAAAAATATGGTTTTATTTCTTGAGAATGGCTGGATTTAATTGGGTTATTTCTAAGCATATTATGGATTTCTTGCATCAGTGGCAAGGTTTAGGCCTAAGCAAAAGAGGTAAAGTCTATTGGAAAACTGTGCTTCATGCAGTAATGTGGGGCATTTGGGAGGAAAGAAACAAACATCTGTTTGATAATAAATTCAGGCCCCTCAAAGAGTTAATTTCAGATATCACTTACCTTTGTAACCTCTGGGTTGTTAATTCAGATCTGTTTAAAGGTCTCTCAGCCAATGACCTTAACAATGCTCACACATATCTTTTTCTCCCACACCCTCAACAAGCAATCCAGAGACAGCCTGCTGTTCTCGCTGAAGGAGTGATGACTTTAAACCTTGATGGAAGCGCATCAGGCAATCCTGGCCCAGCTGGCATAGAAGGCACTTTAAGGGATGAGAGGGGTTAACATCTGCTGGACCTTCAGTGATCCAATTAGATCGGCTGACTCTACCAAGGCTGAACTGATGGCTGCTTGCACAGGAATCAGAATAGTAAAAAACTTGGAAATTCAAAACTTAATCATTGCAGATGATTCAGAAAATACTATAAAATGGTTAAGGGACAAAGATGGGGGACCTTGGAGATTGAGCCACTACCTGGTAGAGGCTAGGGACTCCCTGGACTGCTTAAACGCAAGACTAACTTGGATTCCTAGGGAACTAAATCACATAGCAGATGGTCTAGCCAAATGTGGTGTGCTTTTGGAGTTTTTGTATAGTGACAGACTTCCTCCTATATAAACCTTTAGGGTTCTCCCTTTGCTTTGTACATCCTTTCATGTATGTTTCATTTTCTAATGAAATATGGTTAACTTTATCTCTCAAAAAAAGTGCCTCTTCTATTTTGTTTTGATGTAAATGGTAAAGAAAACAATGGATATTCATTCTTCCCTCTTTACAACCAAATCCTATGTTTTCTATCCCTTTTAATTGATTTTGATGTAAATGGTAAGGAAAATAAAGCTTTTAATTGCCATCTTTTTATTCTTTTGAAGTTGAGAGTATGGTGTGTTATGATGATGCATGGGGATTCTTCACCTATCTGTTTCATTGATCATTTATCTTGGAGTTGAGTTTGATGAGTTGCACTTTGGTAAATCAATATTTAGCACTGCCATGTCAAAAGAAACAATTTTAGGCATTTCTACACATGTCAGGGTCCAACTGGATCTTCTTCTTTAAACTTTAGTTTGTATGTGTGGAAGAAGGTGGGGAGGGCGGGGCATCCTTCATAAGGTGTTGTAATTGAACAAATATTAGAATTTGTATAATGTTTAGCACTGCTATTTCAAGGCAACAGATTCGAGGCATTTTTTCATAGCTTAGGGCTCAACTAAATCTCTTCTCTGAATTTTAATGTGTTTTGTGTGTGTATATGTCTATGCGTGTGTGGGGCATAGCACCATTAATGAGGTATCCTTGTTAGTTCTCTCTTTTTTTATTCAATGTTCTCCTTGAATAAATATTGGAATTTGCATTGGTAACTGTTTCTTCTATGAGATAGTTGCAGCAGGGATTTTAGGAAAATGCTTGATTGGCTAAACTGGGCCTCTCAAGCATTAATCAACACAGAGCTGATTGAATTTGTATCTGGAGCATAGAATTCTAGAAGGCTGATTTCTGGGAGTACTATGACTTTTGTGTTTTGAACATAGTTGTTAAGGCAACGCGGCACCCTTTGAGGCTCGCCTTGCCTAATTGCCAAGCAGTTTTCTACTATGTATTATAAAATACTTTTTTATTCTTTATTTTTTGACATTATAATTATAAAATAGGCAGTATTAAACTAAAATATTCATTTTGTGTTTTTATATACTAATTTCTTTTTATTATTTTCTTATTTGTTAGGGTTTAATCAATACAAACATTGCTAAATGCTGTGTTGAACCCTCAAAAACTTTAAAACCTGAACCAATAAGTAAGGAAGAACTTAAAATTTTGTCTAATCAACACATTTTCTACTACTACTTTTTTTCTTCTTTTACTATAACAAAAATAAGGGTTCAGCCCCTATATTTTTTGAATGTTGTTCTCCTTCTTTTTCTTCTTCTCATTAATATGTTGATTTTCTATACTTTAACATGAACTCTATACTTTTCTTATGAAAATTATGAATAATTATTATGTATGGTTATGGTACCTAGGGAGGATCTATGTTTTCTACATAAAAAAATCCATCACCTAGGTGACTAGGCGCCCCCTGTCGCCTAGCCTCGCCTTGGCGCCTTGAAAACTATAGTTTTGAACTATTGTGGATCTTTTATCCTTCCATTTCTTATTTACCAAAACAAGTGTATTTTGTGGTGCAACAAAGAAAGATCATAAAGGTTCACAGAAAATTGTTAATTGTTTTGCTTCAGTGGATAAATGGATCTTCTGTGGATCATCTGTTGATAGATGTCTGAAAATATGAACTTTAACATTGTTAGCAATGATGGTTCTTTCATCGTCTTTTTCCTTTTATTTTGCCAATCATGTTCTTCTTGATCTTTCCTCAGCAAACATTTTTGTGCTGGGGATCTCTGGCACGTTCCTGCTTCTTTTATCTTGGAGTTGCAAAATATGTTTTATGTCCTATATTTGATTTGAGTTTTATTGATAAAAACAATGCAGTTTACAAAGTGTGTGCTTAGCGAGCAAACTTCTTCCCTTATTTTATGTTTATTATTTATACTATTTGCTTGGTACTATGCATCTTAGATGAGCTACCTATTGAGCCTAGGAATTTTAATACACTTGAATCATAATTCTACTTTAATAAATTGTTAGAACTATTTTAAACATATAACATCAATGAAGGCTTCTCATCCAATCTTTAATGTTCATTTGGTTGTATTTGCTCAGGTCACCACATTTTGCTACAAAAATGGCAGATGGATCACAACATTCATCTATATTCTATAAAATACATGGGCAGTCCTACCTCTTCTCTAGGCTCTCCCCCAACTTGCAGGCCAGAAATTCTACCATCTACAATATATCTGGTGCATACATGAATGGAGGCCTTCAGAGCCATCTGCTGTCATCATACCAAGGCAACATGTCTATTATGCCTTTATCACCTGTCTATGTTCAAGCTCCATCAGAGAAGGGAGTTGGTGCATTTATGGTTGATTTTCTCATGGGAGGAGTTTCTGCTGCTGTCTCCAAGACAGCAGCTGCTCCAATTGAGCGCGTAAAGCTCTTGATACAAAACCAGGATGAGATGATCAAGGCTGGTCGGCTGTCTGAACCCTACAAGGGAATTGGTGACTGTTTTGGCAGAACAATCAAGGATGAAGGCTTCATTTCCTTGTGGAGAGGCAATACTGCTAATGTCATCAGATACTTTCCCACCCAGGTTAGTTCTCCAATATGATGCTTGACAGACCAATTGATAGTTGTTTTTGAGGGTGTACCTGGTGTTAAATCCATGGTTTGCAATTTCTTATTAATGATTCAAACCTGTGTATATGTGCCAGGCTCTGAACTTTGCTTTTAAGGATTACTTCAAGAGGTTGTTCAACTTTAAGAAAGACAAGGATGGCTACTGGAAGTGGTTTGCTGGAAACTTGGCATCTGGAGGTGCAGCTGGTGCTTCATCGCTTCTTTTTGTCTATTCCCTTGATTATGCCCGGACACGACTTGCCAATGATGCCAAGGCTGCCAAGAAGGGTGGTGAAAGGCAATTCAATGGATTAATTGATGTATACAGGAAAACCATTAAATCTGATGGGCTTGTTGGCTTATACCGAGGATTTAACATCTCATGTGTTGGGATTATTGTATATCGTGGACTCTACTTTGGAATGTATGATTCTCTTAAGCCAGTGGTGCTAACTGATCAATTGCAGGTCAGTTAAATCATAAAATAGAAAGTTTATAACAGAATGCTAGGAAGTATTACAAAATTTTCTGTATATTATGTTTGTGACAATTTAGTCATGTCATTTTTTTATGAGTGCAGGATAGTTTCTTAGCAAGTTTCCTACTGGGATGGGGTATCACCATAGGTGCTGGGTTGGCTTCTTATCCAATTGATACTGTCCGAAGAAGGATGATGATGACCTCAGGAGAAGCAGTCAAGTACAAGAGCTCATTCGATGCATTTTCTCAGATCCTTAAGAATGAAGGTGCCAAATCCCTCTTCAAGGGAGCAGGTGCAAACATCCTGCGAGCAGTTGCTGGTGCTGGTGTGTTGGCTGGTTATGACAAGCTGCAAGTGCTTGTATTCGGGAAGAAGTATGGATCTGGTGGTGGTGGCTAACTTGGTCACTGGGTGTGGAGGTAGATGTAGTCACAGTGGCTTGATGATGACGATGAAGAACAATAGTAGTTGTTGTTTTCCCTTTTTTGGAGTTTTGAATAATTTGAGCAGCTTTTGTTTTTCAAGACAAGCTATTTTGGTATTTTGCATTTATAGTGGATGACTATTGACTAATGACTTACCAGTTGGACTAGGTAATTAGATGCTTGAATATACAGAAAGATATTAGCTTTCATCTGAGCCGTATGATAGTTCTCAGTTGTCTTTTTCTTCTTTGCATCGAAACTCAGGTGAAGTGTTCCACACCTTATATGTGGAATTCGATAAAATGCAGTCTTACAAATTACAGAATTCTGCATTTTAGTGGAATTAAAAAAAATCGAACTGAAAAATCTGGGTAACCAAATTGATCGGTTTTTGTTAGTCTATGAATTGGTGGATGGTGGTTAACTGAACTGACCGGTATATGTATAATAAATTAGTCAGCTACCCTTTCTGGCTACCCTATTCATTTATTCAATATTTCCATCCCCAAGTCGCCAATATTCCCACTCTTTTACATTCATTCAAATTCTCCATGGCGGATTCAGAAGATTCTTGCTGATTGCAGAGCTCTTATTTCTTCATTCTCCCAGTGCTCAGTTTTTTTTTGCTCCTAGATCTACACATAAGGCTGTCAATTTACTGGCTGGTTATGCTTTATCTATTTCATTGATGCATACCTGGTTTAAGAACTCCATCCATCCTTTCTTGAGGGTTGTATTATTCATGATTGTATCTGAGCACTAGTAATTAAAATCTTTGCCTTATCAGGCTTCGAGAAAAAAAATCGCCAAATTCCCCTACCCAATTCGGCAACTCCCATTTCAAATTGTTATTATTCATTTTTTCCATGCCTTCACCCCTCTTCCAATGCTCACCAACCAAATCCATTCAAGAAAAATCAACTCCTTAGAATGAAATCAAAATGGCAAAAACACCATCCTACTCTCGCTCCATCTCCATTTCTCTTCAGTTTCCTTTAGTTCTGACATCTTGGCTCTTGCTCTCTAGTGCCAGTATGCCACCACAAATCTACGTGTCACTGCCTCGCCAAATGCCAGTGACTATTTACCAAAGTCCACATTCCTCTCAGGCAATTTAGGCGCTGTTTGGATAGACTTTATGGAAAACATGACAATATTTTTATTATGTACTTTATACCTTTTTATTTCACACTTTTAAAATTATGAAAAACCCCAAAAGTACGAAGTCAGCTTTTTTATACTTCGTGCTTTTGGCAAAATTATGCTTTTGCTTTTTTTTTTTTTTTTTTTTTTTTTTTGCAAATGGGTGGTCATGTGTGACCACCATTCGATAAAATTATCGACCCTACCTTCGCTCATCGCAACTAGAGTTGGACTACTGTCACTGATCTCAACCCTCGAATTCATAAAAAATCGTCACTAGAAGTACAAATGGACATGCTTTTTCCAAACAGAAAATGACACTTTTGTTTTGGAAAGTATACTTTTCAATATCTTTTACCCAAACAGTTTTCAAAGCAAAAATGCTAAAGTAAAAGTATTTATGTATTTTATACTTTGATATTTTTAAAAATACAAAATAGAAGTCTATCCAAACAGTACCTTAGTTTTCTCTCAATAAGGTATGGAACACCATCCTCCTCTTTTTTCTTTTTCTCTAATTTTGTTTAACTTTTTTCTTTTTATTTTTGAAAATCTATTGTTTATTGTATTTGTGTTTGTATTTTCCTTTTCTCTTTTTTTTTTCATTTTTCTTTATGATGAGGGGCATTTTGGTCATCCCACGCAACTACCGACATGTGAACACTGCTGGCAATACAACATCCAACTTAGCAAGACAGTTCGACAGACCAACACGTGGCAACCGACATCAGGCATGCAGCCGAGCTGGGGCGAGCTCGGCACGCCGACAACACCAACTCGACCAAAACCGTTTTGCATACCACGCCCTCACGAACACCGTTACCTCAACCATAGGAACAACTCGCCAAACCGCCCACCACAAGACCTGCAGGCGACTTGTAACCACCGCGCGAATCTATCAACTAACAGTCCAACACACCCCAAACTGCAGAAACAACTCCACAGAAGACTCAAAGACGTTGCCTGATGGCACCTAAACCTCAGATAGCTATAAAAAGACCTTATGGTCACTCTGAAAGGTATGCGCACAAAAGCTCTTGAACTCTCTCACATATCCTCACTAAAATCTTCTTACTGACTTAAGCATCGGAGTGTCTTCCTAGGTAAAACCTACCCAAGCACTCTAACTCTTCCCCTTTTGCAATCCTTCTCAACTCGGACTTATAGTTACCAGCTCGACAGTATAGCTTGGCATTGCCAGATCAGAACTTGGTTCAGGCCTAGTCACTGACACAAGGGAGTGAGCAGATAGCGCATCATCACTTTATATGAAGATAAGAGTAATACTTTGGTGTTTTAATATATAAATAAATCTCTTAAAAAATTTTTTAATAATATAATTAGTTAATTACATTAATCTATAACTTAATGCCAAATGGCCTATCAAAAAGGATTTAGATTCCATGATTATAAGCTTTTGGTTGCAATAGATTTTTTTATTTAAATGAAAATTACATTATAATTAAAAACCAAAAACCGATAAGCGGTTAACTGGTTAAATGATTAATTAGCTACTTCTTCCATTCATTTCAGTTTGAGTTTTTAGAAAACCGACCAGTTCGGTTCAGTTTCAAAATATTGGTCATAGTTTGGTTAACCAAACCATGAGCACCCCTAGAAGGAAGAAGATTGTGCAAAATTTGCATCAGTTTTCAAGATGCAAAATTTGAATTGTGTAAATGAGAAAAGTATAAATTTTGCATTAGGTAGGACTGCAAATCATAATTACAAATGAAGAATATGCATAAATGGATTGGATGCAAAATGTGTATCTGGTTTACATTTACATTGCAAACAAATAGAGTAGAGCCTAAATGATGGGGGAGAGACTAGAAATATTACAATTTTTAAGAATAGAAAACTCTTATAAATCTCACATATACATTAATAACTACAAATATAAAGCTGAAATAACTATGAATAAAATACAAATACATAAGAGATGCAAACACAAATAGTTCATATGAAGAAATGCATTAAAATCAGCATTCCCTTGCATGTATATATTTAGACCTGTTCATGGGCCGGGCTCGGGCTTGGCTTTTGCCAAATTATTAATGAACTCGGCCCAAAGCCCAAGCTTGACATAGTATAAAGTTAGGCTCAAAGCCTAGCCTATGAATAGGTTTATATATATATATATGTATGTATAATATACAATAACTTTATTAATAATGCATCAATCAAGAGTCCAAGACACAAATCCTATGCAATCATTGTATTCTAATTTATAAATTAACTATTCTATATTTATTATTTTTACTTTGTATATTACCAAACTTAAGAAATTACTATATTGTTAGACAATGTATGCCCTTAACTCGAATAAGATTGATGTACATTATGACATTTATTGTAAATGAATAAAGTACATATTGGATTCATGTTATAGTGGTGTGTTTCTGTGTAATACCCTTAAACTGGACACATAATGAGACTCGTGTTAGTTTAGAATGTTCACAGCCAGTGGGTCGATCTAGGGAGATCTATCCTGATAAGGCTGACACTGATGTGCCTCCAAGTTGGTTGGGGTGGCCTGTCTCAGCCGCCAGGGTGAGACTCGAGGTACATGCAGTGTAGGTTTAACTTGAAACCTTAAACCGGACTAGAATTCCAGTGTTGCCCTGGACCTTGGTGATAAGTGGTTAAAACTAGAATGTTACACCTGACCCCTAGACTCGATTATGATAATACACTAAGTGTCGGATTGGACTATCTCTGATGTGCCAATCAGTGAGATCCTTAGAGGGGATCAAAACCTAGGTATGTTGGGACAGTCTGAGAATTCATCTGAGTGGGTGATCATAGTGACA